TACTTCCGTAGTGATACTGCCTCGGAAACCCAAGGAGGGGTCGCTATGAGTCAGGGCTGACTCGACGGCACATAACAACAACAACAACAACATGAACCAATCTAGTGCCTAAGGCATTTGACTGCTATCCAGAAGACTGGTGGTTCAAACCCACCAGCCACTCCTCAGAAGGAAGACTGGGCAATCTACTGCCTTGGAAACCCAAGGAGGGGCCACTATGAGTTGGATCCAACTGGACTGCAGTGAGTTTGAGTTGAGTGATGAACCAATCAAATACCTTTTAAACCTGTTCCCTAGAAGGTAACTCTGGCTTGCTTATTCCAAAAGAGAAATCAATTGATTGATCAAGAAAGTGTTTTCAAATTATCCAACAAATTGTTCCCAAGTGTGGTGCAGTGGCATGATGGCATCGTCCCTGTTTGGGGTCAGCCATGCCTGATTTCAGTTCCTTTTTCCTTTCTTTTACTCCATAGTCATTACAGACTTGTAGATTTGAGCCCAAGATACTAGGACTCATTAACTTTAACAAAGGTATCTCTCTCAAAGAAGTATTGTGGGGATTGAATGAATTAGCTAGCACATGCAATGTTCCTAGCACTCTGTAGGCCTGAAGCAAAAATTGTTTCCTTCCATTAAGCATCTGGCCACTAATTCATCCGTTTTACCCATCACTCTCCATGATGTCTTTTCATCAGGGTTGGTGACTTACCTGCGAGGAGGCTGGAGGGTCAGGACCGACCCTGTCCCATCAGGGCACTAGTCTGGGTGCCAGCAAGCCATTGTCAGCCCACAGGTCAGTGCTTCGGATGCTATAGGGAGTGGGCACCAGCTGTGTGCCCTAACCCCTTGGTATGCAGAGAGAGTACCAGGAATTGGATAAGGATGTAATATACCCACCACCTTCGTCATACTGTGTCCCTTCCAGGGAAAGGAACTCTGATTACCAAAATGAATAACTAATGGCCTGAGGGGAGATTTTTCTGCAATATTTTCAACTGCATAAACATCCAGTGCAAAATATTAGTAATAAATGACTCATCACAATTTTTATTTTTTCCTTCAGAAGCAGTATTGCCCTTACAAATTTTCCAATTAGTTAGATGTAGCAGCCACTCCTTCCTCCTTTCCTTCATTTTTGTCTATCAAATGTCTATCAGAATGAGGGGGCAGGGAGGGAAAAATGCTATTACCTTGCCAGTTCAGAACTCTTGCTCTGCAGGCCACTTCTGATGCTTTCTAGAATGTAGCTGTGACTTTTACAGTAACTGCTCATTGGGAGACACCGTGATTCAAAGCTTAATTTAGATTAACTAAACCCCAGAAAAGGCTGAACAATGTCAAGAAGAGAAAGACTGGCAAATATTTCCATTGTTGCTAACATAGGATAGTTAAGTTTTAAACCTTTCAGAATTATTCCTGCATTTCTAATCTGCATACATGTTCAATTTCTTATAGACGGTGGCCATGTTTTCTGGACTAAATATGAGGTCATCAGATTTAATAAGCAAGAGAGTACCTTTAGGGGCAGGCTGTTATATTAAATTGGAATTGTTACAGACATTCTAGGGCTTGGAGGTCTACCAGTTACTGAAAACGGATAAAAAATAATAATAATAATAATAAAAACTCATGCCATGGAATTGAATCTGACTCATAGTGACCCCTCCTTGGGTTTCCCAGGCCAGGAAAGTAGATTGTCCAACTTGCCTTCCGAGGAGTGGCTAGCGGGTTTGTACCGCCAGCCTTCTGGTTAGCAGTCAAATGCCTTATGCACTATGCTACCAGAGCTTATGTGAAAAAGGATAGTACTTAAATATTAAGTGGCTGCGATCACACTCAACTTGGGAATTATTAACATTTTAAGATAATGACTCATAAAGAGAGCTGATGGAAGAGGATGGTGCAAAGGAAATAGAGCTCAAGGGTCTCCCGATCCAGCTGCCGGGCTAGTACCGGGCCTCTGGCCAGGGACACGGAGCCCGGGCCGCGCGTTCTAACCCGAGCTCTTGGCGCGCGCTGCGCCCGGCAGCGGCCGCATTCCAAGTGGAAGGTTGCTCGTTTGAGTGTCCTTGGCAACGCGACTCTTCTGCCTTCTGGAAGCCCAGACTCTAGCTCCTGCGTTGTGAGACCCGTCCCGGTGGGAGGGACCCGGGCTGAGGGACCGATGGCGGTGCGAGGGGGTGGGGGGCTGGGGAAGCTGCTGGGAGCATTTGCCTTAGGGATTGAGCTAAACTAAGAAAAATCGCTACAAGGCTCAGCACAAAAGGATCTTTCATTCCGGTCTTTTCACCCACGCAGGGAACGATGCCTCTGGAGGTGGTGGTGGAGCTGCAGATCCGGGCGGTAAGAAGAGATCGACGAACATCCCCGCCCTGCCCCAAGTCAGACCTTTCCCCCAGGGTTCCACGGTCCCATCAAGCTCGGTAAACGGTCTGGGGTCGTTTCCCCACCTCTCTCCCTTGTAGCGCGCGCGCGGGCGCGGGCACGGGCACCTCCCTCCCCCGCTGTCGTTGGGACAACTCGTACTTCTGTCCCTAAGATTATCTACTTAGGTCTTCCCGGACTTCCTAACCTTCAATTCAGCCGCCTCTTGCAGAGTCCTTTCTACCCCAACCAATTGTTTGTTAGCTTTATCCTTTTTTTTCCTTGTTCTTTAAAAATAACCCTGCATCCAGTCCAAGTAGGACATTGATTTCTTTTCCAGGATAAATATTTGTTAGGGGTTTAACAACCATTTCTTTCCAATAACTATGGAATAACGTAATTAAAAAAAAAAAAGCCCTGTCATTTCCTGATAATTTGTCACCTCTATGAACCAATCTGGGAGCTCTGGTAGCATAGTGGCTAAGGCACTTGACTGCTAACCAGAAGGCTGGCGGTTCAAACCCACCAGCCACTCCTCGGAAAGAAGGTTGGGCAATCCTACTTCCGTAGTGATACTGCCTCGGAAACCCAAGGAGGGGTCGCTATGAGTCAGGGCTGACTCGACGGCACATAACAACAACAACAACAACATGAACCAATCTAGTGCCTAAGGCATTTGACTGCTATCCAGAAGACTGGTGGTTCAAACCCACCAGCCACTCCTCAGAAGGAAGACTGGGCAATCTACTGCCTTGGAAACCCAAGGAGGGGCCACTATGAGTTGGATCCAACTGGACTGCAGTGAGTTTGAGTTGAGTGATGAACCAATCAAATACCTTTTAAACCTGTTCCCTAGAAGGTAACTCTGGCTTGCTTATTCCAAAAGAGAAATCAATTGATTGATCAAGAAAGTGTTTTCAAATTATCCAACAAATTGTTCCCAAGTGTGGTGCAGTGGCATGATGGCATCGTCCCTGTTTGGGGTCAGCCATGCCTGATTTCAGTTCCTTTTTCCTTTCTTTTACTCCATAGTCATTACAGACTTGTAGATTTGAGCCCAAGATACTAGGACTCATTAACTTTAACAAAGGTATCTCTCTCAAAGAAGTATTGTGGGGATTGAATGAATTAGCTAGCACATGCAATGTTCCTAGCACTCTGTAGGCCTGAAGCAAAAATTGTTTCCTTCCATTAAGCATCTGGCCACTAATTCATCCGTTTTACCCATCACTCTCCATGATGTCTTTTCATCAGGGTTGGTGAATTACCTGCGAGGAGGCAGGTAAGTGTCAACAGGTTACTGTCCTGGAAAATCTGGTCAGCTTCCATTAAAAAACAGTTGCTACTGAGTTGATTCTGACTTCTGGTGACCCATGTGTGTCAGAGGAGGATTGTGCTTCATAGAGGTTTCAGTGACAGTTTTTCAAAGTACATCGTCAGGCCTGTGGACCCAAACCTCCAGTCTTTCAATTAGCACCACCTATTGTCAGTCTCTGTACAAGTGGCAAAATCTATCATATTGAAACAAAGCTAATTAGCTCTTGGATTTGTCCACTTTGCTGACCACAAATAGGGCCAGACTGTATCAATCATGCTGTATCAACTGTGTGCTCTCAAAACTGTGCCATAGATCAAGGAATTCCTGAGAAGCTGAGTGATAAACTAGTCTCCCTCCTCTCCAAAGCAAAAAGTAAACAAGTTTTCAACTCACTCTATTCAACACTATAGGTCAATTTTATTTTGATTTTTAAAAGGCGTTCCTCAATGGACATTAACAAACTGTTTCCTACTCTGTGGTACTTGGTGTATTCCAACAATCCTCAGGTGAATTAAGCTGTGCTTTAATGACAGCAAACTCAGGCCCCAGCAAATAAGACAGAGAATTCCAGAAGTATGACCACAAACCAGAAGGGTAGCCTACTTTCAAGTCCCCAACATTCAGACTTGTGAACATAAGAGGAAATACCACTGCTTCCAAATATCTGGCCTGAATATTGCTGTGATGAAAAGAAGGGATCCCTCTAAAGTTAAACAACAACCCAAACATTTGTAGCTTCACAGTTTGGCTGATTCAGCAAGTGAAGAGAAGAGGTAGTTGGTGTTCAGTTTGTGGTGGGAATGCAGATGGTTTTATTACTTTTCTTCTGAGGAGTCACTGCTCTTCTTCCAATGTGCCTCGCTCTCTAAAAGTTCACTCTTCTACCCAAACAGAACCTGCATTCTCTAGTCCCACCGACACTCCTTTGTTTATAAATGGGTACCATATTTTTATGCAAATAACATACCAGTTACATGCTTTTTTGCAAGCTGTGCAACCCCCTGGTATTAGTTTACTATGTACATTTTATATGTGTGTGTGTGTGTTGTATGTGTATGTGCGCTTTTTGTGTGTGTCACATGCGAAAAAATACGGTAATCTTGACACCAGTTCCTAGATAATGCAAAGGTTATTTTTTTAGGTAGAGCAGCATTTAAAATGCACACCCTCCTTTGTCTTCCCTGGTCAAGGAATAATAAGCAGAGTCCATCTTGCATTTGGTGGTCTTTGGTCTTGTGATTCTAGGAGGCCCATGGGTGAACTGCTTTAACTGTAATGGTCAATGTCAAGGGAAATTTAGGTGTTATACCTTGTTCCTGGTGAATTTCAAGTTAAATACTGTTGCCTAGAGTGTGCTATATTCAGAGAAACAGAATTCCATATTACAAGCTATAGTATACAGGGTCATCCTTATATATATGAAAAAGCTTATACACTTGCATTGAAAAATCACATTATTTTCCATTTTATTACCCCAATAAACCACCAGTTGCTGTAGAGTCAACTCCGACTCATGGCAACCCCAGGTGTGTCAGAGAACTGTGCTCCACAGGGTTTTCAATGGCTAGTTTTTAGGAAGTAAATCGCCAAGCATTTCTTTTGAGGCACCTCCAGATGAATTCAAACCCCTAGCCTTTCAGTTAGTAGCTGAATGTTTTAAATCTGTACTACCCAGGCAACCCTGCGACTCCAATACCAAAAACCTAGTTGCCGTCAGGTCAATTCTGATTCATGGCATACCCCATGTTGTCAGAGAATCTGTGCTTCAGAGTTTTCAAGCGCTGATATTTTGGAAGTAGATCACCAAACCTTTCTTCTGATAACTACAACAGAGAGGCATTATTCTTTATTCAGTAGCAGGCCCCATCCTGCCATACTGGTCCACTGACCATAAATGTAGGGCCAGCCTTCCCCCAAACTCAGTTCCTGTGACTTTGCCCAGCAACTTAGCTTCTCTGCTTTCTGTCATACCTTGTTACTGTTGTCAACAGAACTAAGCATGTGGACATAGTCCCCTCTTTCCTTTTCTACAGGAACCTTAGATACGTTCAATTTTAAGTGTTTCTTCTCGAAGTTCTTGGCTTGTACTCTGAATGCTAAGGTAGTATTAGAAAGTAGGGTGAAATAAATATCTATGGAAAGATCTTTTGAGAGGTTGGAGGGAAAGAAGAGAAAGACAAGTCCTATTATTCTCTTCTCAATATTCAGTCAGCAAAGATGGAAGACACAATAATAAAAAAATCTTACCAAGAAAATTAGGATTAAGAACAACTCTCTCCAACTGTGGCAACAAACCTTCAGGGAACAAACTAGAAAAACCTATGTCTGAGACTCTTAAAATACTGTTCAAGTCTAGTTTAGGCCAGGAGCCCAGACCAGTACGGGGCTCAGCTGCATGTATATTTACAGAATGAAGATCATGTTACTTTTTCAAAGTTCAATTTACAAGTGATAATGTTGACTTATGGAATTACAACAAAACACACATTTTACTAATGTCCACTTAAAAAAAAGACAAAAACAAAAACCCAAAACAGCAACATTATAATCACCCCAGCTTGGTTTCTGTGCAGTTGTCCTGGAGACATAGGCAGTTGCTGAATAAATGCAACAGAAGGATTTGTTTGTTTGTTTTCCCTAATATGGCTGTGTTTAGTAATGGCCATGTGTACTCCAGCCTAGCCACACACATCAAGAGGGTGGGGCCTCCAAAATCACAAAGGAAAGCTAAAATTCTAAGAAAGGAAAGTGGAGTGGCTGCTGGCTTTTGTGGGCATCACTGTGGAAACCTTGATGTCGCCTGGATTAAACTCGATGGTGTCATTGTTGACTCCATAGTGCAAAGAGGACTGGAGCATTGTGGGGCGAGAGCCAGCAATAGTCCACGATGCTGTACTGCATGTAGCCCAAAAGAAAGCCAAAAGCCACGTCGGTGACGTTGTGCCGCCCCAGCATCACCCTGGAGAGGCCCAAGATGAAGGCCCAAAGGACCGCCAAGACCCTCAGTGGAATGGCCAGCACCAGGTGGTTCAGAATGAAGCGTGACACCAGGGCGGCTCTTGTGGCATGGCCCGAGGGGAAGGAATACTTGTCCACCGAGAGGGTGACAAACATGTCCATCTGGTTGTGAGCTGGGCGGCGCCTGCGGACCAACCCTTTGATTAGGGCCACTAGCAGCAGGTCCAGCAGCAGGGCGAAGAGCAGGTTCATGAGCACCTCGCGCCCGGCCCAGCTGTCGCTCCTCGACAGGCAGTAGAGGGTGCCCAGCAGCCAGGGAATGCCGTGGCCCGAGATCTCCAGCAGCTTCATCAGGGGCCGCACGCTGCCCCAGGAGGAGTGTTCCCCAGCGCACACGCCCAGCTTCTTGGATAGCCACAGGTCAATGGCCAGCAGGGAGCGCAGGGCGATGCCCAGGAAGGACGGGTTTAAGTTCATGCGCGCCTCCTCGGGCGCCAGGCCCGGGGGCGCCGGCGCGGGGCCGGGCCAGGCCAGCGGGACCGAGCCGCGGCGGTGCACCGGGCTCTCGGACGCGCGGAGCCGAGCGCAAGTGGGGTCGGCGCAGGGCGCGCGGCTGCTGAGCAGGGACTGGAACTCAAACCTGCCGCCGCCGCCGCCGCCGCCGCCGCCGCCGTGTGCCGGGCTGTTCGGGCTACTGCTGCTGCTGCTCGCGGCGGGGATGCCCAGCGCGCGACCCTCGGCGCTCCTCCGGGGGCTCGGCATCGCGGCGGTCGAACGAGGCACCGCCAGCTAAGAAGCGGTTGCCAGGCCCTGCAGCCTCTTCCGCTTCCGCACTCGCATTCTGGAGGCGGGGAGAGGAGCGCGCCACTCTGACACCTGGTGGAGACGTGGGAGGAGTTGTGATCTCCTAGTCCCGGAGGAAGCGAGGGGAGGGTGCTGCTGCAGCGAAGTATGGATGAGGGGGGTGTGGCAGGGTAATTTGGCAGTGTCGGTGGGATGCTAAGGGAAATGGATCCATGATTTTTTTTAAAGTAATATTTAATTGAATTTTTGGTGAAAACGTCGTTCTTTAGGACAGAGTAGAACGACTCCATAAGGTTTCCAAGGCTGTAATCTTTACAGAAGATTACATCTGCTCATCTGTCTCCCGCAGAGCGGCTGGTAGGTCCGAACCGCCTTTCAGCAGGCAGCCGAGTGCTTTAACCACTGAGCAATCGGGGCGCTTTTACACAGCATGTTCGGTTCCCATTTGACAATTTCGGCAAAATTGTTCAGAGACAATGGTTACATTTGTCACAGTATTTTTAAAAGTGTTGTTTGTTCCATTTCCAGTTTTCCTGCCCCTTTATCTTCCCATCTTTGCTTTTGAGTAATGGTTGAGAGCCTTGATTTTTCAAAAACAAACTCTTCCCATTTTTGTTGTCTATTTCCTTTCATTATTATTATTATTATTATTATTTGGTATGATTTTTTTTTTCTCCTCTTCTTTCTTTCTTTATTATTGTTATTTGGGTGAAGTGGTATGATTTTTTAAAAAAGAAAAACAAAATTTATCCTGGTGGAAACATACACAACAATACACTTGATAGCACAATCCCTTCCAGATTTACAATTCAGTGACAGGGATGGCGTTTTTCACATTGTGACACCATTCTCCTTATTCTCCTTCAAAATACTCATAAACAGGGAGCCCTGGTTGTGCAGTGGTTAAGTACTGGGCTGGTAACCAAAAGGTCAGCAGAAAAGGTCAGCGGTTCCAACCCACCAGCCTCTCTGAGAAGAAAGATGTGAGGCAGTCTGCTTTCACAAAGACTACAGCCTTGGAAACCCTGTGGGGCAGTTTTACTCTATCTTACAGGGTCGCTGTGAGTAGGAGTCAACAGGATTGCAAGGGATTTTTTTTTTTTTTTTTTTTAATAAAAATAAACTCAATGCCTCCCCCATACAAAAATTCTCTCTTTCCCTCTCCCTTTCACCCCTGACAACAAAGGGCTAGTACTGCCCTCAAGTCCATTCCGACTCATAGTAGCTACCCACATAACGTTTGCAAAGCCGTAAATTTTTACTGAAGTAAATTAAAGATTGTCTCATCTTCCTCCCACAGAGCAGCTGGTGGGTTTGAACCACTGACCTTAATTTTTGGTTGCTATGTATTTGATTATTTTGTATACTTTTGCAACTGTGGAATGACTTAAAATTTTTTTTTTTTTAATAATCTTTACTTTTTAGGGCAGTTTTAGACTTAAAAAAAGTTGTGCAGAAAGCAGAGATCCCCTCTGCACGCAGTTGCTCCGTTACAAACCTCTTGCATTAGTGTGGGGCATTTGTTACAGTGGATGAATGATATTGATAAATTATTATTAGCTAAAGTCCCTACATTACATCAGGGCTCACTCTTTGTGTCCTACAGTCTTATGGATTTTGACAAATGCATAAGGTCAGGTATTCACCATTAGAGGATCATGCAGAATAGTTTCGATGCCCTAAAAATGCCCTAAGCTTTGCCTATACATCACTTCTCCCCCATCTCCTAAGCCCCTGACAACCACTGACTTTTTTTTACTGTTTCTATAGTTTTGCCTTTTATATAGACTGTCCCACAGTTGGAACCAGATAGTAAGCAGCCTCCCTGCCCCGCCCCCCCCCCAGGCTGCTTTGATTTAGCAATAGTCACTGAAGTTTTCTTTCTTTTTAAGATCTCTTGCCCAGGTGTGTTCCTGCCAAGCAAACAAGATGTGTACCTTGGAGTCTACTTCTTGAATCAGTACCTGGAGACAAACTGCTTCCCTCCTGTGTTCCCTATTATGATTCATCGGAACATGAGATTTGAAAAGGTAATCGTGACTTTCTTACTGGGTTCTGCTGTTGGAAGACAGTCTAATGGGACACAGTTCTTATAAAGTTGCTACTTTGTAAATGTCCTTTTAAAAAAAATTCCCCAGGGCACTTTTAGCACAGTAGAAAACGACAGCCTGCCTGTTGGAGGACTCGATTTTGTATCCCAGGTCTGAGCCAAGTTCTGTCAACCTAGTGCTAAATACCCTGGTCGATGTTTTCTATTCTTGGAACTCCCATGGCATTTTCTAACTGGAGCAGAGAGCATTTCTGAATGTTCTTGGAGGTGTTAGAGGAAGCTGAATTACATTAATGAAAGAGTTTTTCAATAAGCTATCAGACCTTAGAAACGATCCGTTTTAGACCCAGGGAAAAAAAATGTTACCAAATTAGTTATTATACACCTTAAAACTGAAATCCTTTAACAAAACAAGAAAGACTTCAGATGTACTGACTTTCCCTAGGTCATACCCGGTTTATTGTGTTACAGGATAAAGGCTAGATTCCATTCCAGTGAATACAGTCATGATATAAATAGTCAAGCACCAATCTTGTTCCCACTTCAATATATGATAGACTATTCATTCATTGCTGTGCCACCATTGACAATCCCTTTGAGTTTTTGTTTTGGAATTTGGAAATGAAATCCATTTCAACCTTGAGAAGTCTGATGCTTTTTTCCCTAAACAGTCACTGGTGGTGTTCTTTTGGGGAGGAGGGTGAGTGTGGAAGACTCCAGGGCAGAGCCCAGCACTTTTTAAATGCCTGGAAGATGGTACCCAGAAAATGAGCTGTTTGTTTTGGCCTAAGGATGGGAGTGGAGGTAGGGATTGATTTTCTGAAGGGCTAGGGTAAAATGTGTAATACTTTCACAGGTCATAGCCTATTAATGTAATTAAAGAGGGTACCAAGCTGGTTGGATAAGACATGAGAGGAATAAATAGTTATTACCTTGAAACATGCAATCAGAATCCAAGGAAACTTTCTTCTGTTCAGATGTTTGTAGTAATGAGGGTGGGTGGTGAAAATGCCCTCTCCCTCTCTCCCCAAAAGAATTCTCTTATTAGTTTTATCAATTTTGAATCAGTTTCTGTAGAAGATTTTAAAATTTTAAAAATGAAAGTCCAAGGATACAAAATCATGAGAACATGGAATAATACAATTGGAAATTATCTTGGAGTCATGTTGTCTACCTCTTTGACTTGTAAAAGAGATGAATAAGCTTTAGAGGCCCTATCTGCTCTGTTGCAAAAGTGTACATTTGAGATTACTAGCCAAACATATTCCCCACTGCCATTGAGTTGATTCTGACTCATAATAGTGACCCCCATAGGGTTTCCAAGGCTGTAAATCTTTATGGAAGCAGTTTGCCTCATCTTTCTTCCATGGAGCAGCTGGTGGGTTCAAACTGCCAACCTTTTGGTTAGCAGCCGAATGCCTTACCATTGCATCCCCAGAGCTCCAGCTAAACATATTAGGGAACTTTTTTTTTTTTTTTTAAATGCAATTAAATAAACACAGTTGTTGCTGTATTTTAAATATTTATAAAAGTGTCCTCTACTGTGTAATCAGAAGTCCTTGGGTGATGCCAAGGATAAAGCACTTTACTACTAAATGAAAGGTTGGTGGTTTGAACCTACCCAGAGGTACCTCAGAAGAAAGGTCTGGATATCTGCTTCCAAAAGGTCACACCCTTGAAAACCCTATGAAGCACAGTTGGAATTGATCTAGCAACTGGTTTTTGTATTTGATTTTTTTTAACTGTGTAAACTGAAGTTCATATTCTCGCTTCCATGTGGCTCTTGCTTTCTTATGTCTGTTTCATTCTCTAGCTGAAACTACTTGCAGCAAGTAGCAATAACATTTTCTCTCCTGTGAACCTTCTGTGTAATTCAGAATGCAACATTCTAAAGAATTTGGATAAACAAGAAATTACTCATAAGACTATATCAGCCATTGTGTTTAAGAATTTCATGTTGATCATTTACTCCCCAAGATCACTCTTGAGAGAAATCCTTAGACATGGCAGAAGAAAAGGGATGCAATTACTGTAGCAATCTAGGGCTCCCCTTCCGCCTCAAAAAATCATCCAGTGTAAAGCAAAAAATGACTACTGGGGACAATTTCTTCTTCTTATTCTCTTTTTTTCTACTTATACATTTCAGTAACACACACAAAAATGATTTTATTGTGATTTGGTGAAAGTTTACAGAACAAATTGTTTCTCCTTTCAACAATTCGTACACATTTTGTTTTATGACATTCATTGCAGTCCCCACACTATTCCTATTTCCTCCCTATGTTTCTTATTCCCATTTGTCCTTTTTTCTTATCCTTTCCTGCCTTCTGAGCTTAATCCCTGTGCAAGTGCTGCCCTTTTGATCTCATATGGTTGATTGTTCTATGGAGTGTGTTCCTCCCTAGTGTCATTGTTCACCTTACAGGCCTATCATTTGCCTGAAAGTTGAGCCACAGTGGTGAGTTTAGTTCCAGGCTTGAAGGTGTCTAAGGGCCATAGTCTCAGGGTTTTCAGTTTGTGTCCTTAAAGCAGACTTGGCTTTGCACTCAAGAGTCAAATTTGTTGCTGTGTGCCATCCAGTTGATTCTGACTGATAGTGAACTTATATTAAAAACCACACCAACCTCACTGCCATTGACTCAATTCTGACTCATAGCGACCCCCTTTGGGTTTCCAAGGCAGTAAATCTTTTTTTTTTTAATTGTGATTTGGGTGAAAATTTACAGAGCAAATTTACTTTCCATACAGCAGTTCACATACACTGTGTCTCATGACACTGACTACAATTTACCACAATGCAATAGTTCCCCTCTCACTTCCTCCCGATAGTTACCTCTTCCCTGTGTCCATCCCTCCTTGCACTCCTGCCTCCTGAGCTGTCTCCCTGTGCATAAACAGCCTTTCTTTCTCCCATGATTGTCCTCTCCAAGATACACTACCTCAGGTAAATGTTCAACTCATATGCCTGTCTTTTGTTTGGCTGGAAGCCACAGGTGTGGGTTCAATTCCAGACCTGAAGGGCAGCTAGG